AGTATGTGTGAAAAGATGTTCAACGCTAACAATTTATTTACCTGCGATTGTCAAAAAATTTAAAAAGTGGTATGCTCCACACATCAGGGGATAAAATGAAGACAAGGTATGAATTTCAAAAAGGGGGACGTTACGTAATTAACATCCATTGGTGTTTAACAGATAACATGTCGATAAGTTAATTAACATCTTTTGGCGATAAGCTTGCTAATGACAGAAAGAAAGAAAGAAAGAAAGAAAGAAAGAAAGAAAGAAAAGAAAGAAATTATAGAAAGGAAAAAACAAGACAAAAGGAAACAAATAAAAAGTGGGAGAAAATGTTGACAAGCAGAAGAAATTCTTGTGAATTTGGCTTTTCAACTGACGGCTTATAATCCAATCTGCTGCCCAGTTAGGCAAATAGTTTGATTCGAGGCAATGTTGCAAAATAACGACCTCATATCTAATTAACGCCAAATGCTTAACTCAGCGTTAACACTTTCTTGTGGGAGCCTGAGAACCACAAATTGTTCCGAGACTGGAAACATAGCTGGTCTCAATCACCTAAAAACACACATTATATTAGATTTATAACAAGTCTTATCACTGTTAATCCCGAGGCTAACTACCAACACCGCCGCCACCACCACCATGCACCACAGAATTTGAGACGGAACAAGTCCAGAGAGAATAAACATTAGAAACGTGACATTTTTGTTCTTGGAATTGTTTGATGCTGTAATACAATCTGACACAGGTTTACCCATTTTTTTTTCGAATAAAAGAATTGTATAACCAAATTTCTCTAACCCAAGGAAATATTCTTTTTATCATTCTTCTTCTTCTTCTTCTTCTTCTTCTTCTTCTTCTTCTTCTTCTTCTTCTATTTCTGCTACTACTACTACTGCTATTGCTGCTACTACTACTACTATTATTACTACTACTATGTGCGGTGCACTTTCAGGACATGAGCAATAATGGGTTTCCTCAATGTCCTATCTTTTGTAGCTCTTAATAAATTTTGTCCTTTCACTGTAGAAAAGATGAAAAAGACATTAAGAAATGACAAAAAAGTGTGTTTTTTTTGGGGGGGTATTTTTCGACTATCCGCTGACCCCTCCTACATCACCGTTGTTTCATCTGAGATGACCTTTTAACTCGACAGAATTATTCACAATTCTAAATGTCCTACCTTGAATTTTTTTTTCAGTTTTTGTTTATTATCATTATTATTATTGATTTTTCCTGTTTTCTTTTTATTAATAATAACAACAAAAAAGATCAGCGTATTTTCTTGTGTTAAAACAAAATCTGTCGTCTTTTCGGCCCTAGTTTTGACTTTCGAGAGAAATTTGAACGGGCCTCAACGGAATAATACGGACTGTCGATCACAGAGAAACCGAGACCACCCAAAAAACTGAATAAAATAAACAAAAGGAAATGAAAACACGTGTGTGTATACAAGTAAATAAATAAATGAGCGAATAAATACATAAATTAGAAACTGAGGATTTTGTATTGTCAACATGGCGCTTGGGTTAGAGTTAGAAACTGGATGTTGGCCGGTTTTCAACAAATCTTATTCTCGTTCTTCAGATGTCTCTGTTCCGATTCCATTAGACATTTCAATCAGCGAGCAGTCTTAACTATGGAGAAAATAATGTGCATGAAAATGATAGCTATGATGCATCTCTGTGGCGGTTGGGACTGGCAATATGTCGGAGGGGTCAGCCTTTTTTTTTCTTTCTTTGTCCGTTCGATGTGCCACTGACAAGATGGATACATCACAAACTTCAGATATTTATTGATTCATTTTTTTTCCTTCCAAGTTTCCTAATTTCCCTTAATATCTACTTTTTTTCTTACTAGTTCTCCCCACTATGTTTTCTTTCTCTGCTTCTATCTAATCCTCTCTTCCTGCCACTTCTCTCTCGTCCTCTCTTTTCTAATTAACCTCTCGCTAACAATCCTTTCATTTCCATCTCACTTTAATTCCTCCCTATCTTCACCGACTTTTCATTGCTTCTTCTTTCTTCCTTGCTTACCCCCTCTCTTCTTTTCTCTCTCTCTCTCTCACTCTCTCGCTTTCTCTCTCTCGTTGAACTTTAACTTCTATTTATTGAGCTTGCCCTCTCTCACTATCTCTTTACTTACCCCTTATTTTCTGTAGGCCCTTTTCAACTTGCTTGTTACCATTTCCTTGTCCTTCCTTACATTTCTATCTCTCTGTCTATCTCTCGCTATCTCTCATTCTATCTATCTATCTATCTATCTATCTATCTATCTATCTATCTATCTCTCATTCTATCTATCTATCTATCTCTCATTCTATCTATCTATCTATCTATCTATCTATCTATCTATCTATCTATCTATCTACTTATTGCCCCTCTTCTTTCTATTTCACTCTCTTATCTCCTTAGTCTCTTTTTTATTCTCGTTTCTATCTATTTCTCTCCTTACAGTCTCATAATCTAAAAATATTTTTCTGGTTTTAAATAACCGGCAAAAATTTTATAAGCCGTTAAAAAAAAAATAACTAAATCCATTTTCTTTAAAACCTTCCCATTAATCACGTGTTCTGTTCATGGTCTTTTTAAAATCCTTTTGTAGAACCACGTCTCTATCATTTCATGTCTCTTTTTCATCTCCGAGGAAAATGTCTTAAACTCACTAGCATATAGGAGGACTGATATTATACAGCATTTCAGCACTCTTTTTTTTATTATTTCTAGCGTAATCTTTCTGTTTTTATTATTTTGTTTAACTTCTGAAAAGCATCTTTCACTACTCAAATGCATTTTCGGATTTCTACGTCAAATTTCCCGTCGTCTGTTATAATATTTCCCTAAATTTCTGTACTTGCTTGATTTGGGCATCCCCAGTATGTTGCTCATAACTTGGGCTGTCCTTTTTACCGACAACCATGTATTCTGTCTTCTTACAATTGATGAAGAAATTATCAATTTTATACAATTCACAATTATCATTGAGACAGATAATAATGGATTCATTATAAGTGTCTTTTTAGTACCTTTTTATTTGTTAAAACTTTTTTGTTGCTCACATGTTTAGTCCATGATATTCCCTGTAACCTTTTGTAAAGCTGCCTCAAGTCACCTATTCATCTGTATGGAAATTGTCCAGCATTCACTGGCATATAGGAGGATTGATGTTGCATCATAGTACAACACCATTTTCTTTATTTCTAACAAATTGTTTCTGTGTCTAAATACATTGTTTAGATTTTCGACGACATCTTTCACTATGACAATGCGCTTCCGAATTAACTCAATTTGGAACTGCCGAAATATTTAATTTTCTGCAAGCAAACTTACACATTCATTGATTCTCTCTTTCTCTCTCTCTCTCTCTCTCTCTATATATATATATATATATATATATATATATATATATATATATATATATATATCATAGTGAATATTGAAGTAAACACTTAGGGCGACAGGCTGTTTCATTCCCGTGGTCTGACGATTGCGTCTAGAATGAGACAGTCTGTCGCCTCTAAGTGTTGACTTCCATGTTCACATTTATATTTACACACGCTCTATCTCTGATATTGAGCACTTTATCCCATATATATAGCACACCTTAATAGTATATTTCTTCATGTAGATATATATATATATATAGAATAAGAAACCTCAGCAGAAGGCAGTGGAGGTCTTTTTTCATGATCTCACCAGCAGTGCACATTCACTACCGGCAATCGAACCCAGACCATTACAGTAAAACACAAGCGTCATAGCAGCGGGCCTCGGTGACGAAGTGTAAACTAACCAGACTCAATATAGCACAGCTACTCCTGATAATCATCCATACTTAAATATATTGATTTTCTAAGCGTACCTTACATGTGGCACAAGGCCAAATATATAGGACCACCCAATGAGGATCGAGCTCACTATTCAGTCGTAATTGTTCTAGTGAGACAGGCTTTGCTAACCATTACGCCATGTCGAGCTGCCCGAAAAGATTTTCCAAGCGTAGCTTAGATATGGCACAAGGCCGAAATTAGGGGGCACTCAGTCGTAATTCTTCTAGCGAGACAAGCTTGCTAACCATTACACCACCTCGAGGTGTTCCCATCCACACCCCAAGAGTCCAGCATCTTATTTCAACAGAGCATTAAAACTGGATCTGGCACAGGGCTTTCTGCATTCTGTTGAGGTTTCTTATTCTAGACGCAATGAATTATTATGTGCAATATATATATATATATACCAGGTACCAGAGTAGATATTTATTGTTGAGTTTGATAATCCGCAACAGATGGGCACCCAGTAAGGAGCGAAGTCATATTATATGTTCAGCGACACTTGATAACCATCCACCAACTTTTCCGTTCAGCTTCCTTTAAGTAAGTGTCTACCACTTGCATTTAATGACGTCATTTCATCCTGCTTTGTTTTTGTCTCGTGTTCGTCACTGTCTTTTCCTCCATTTTCTTCCATTTTAAACAATTTTCCTACAGCTTATTCTTTTCCTCACTATTTTAGTTGTATTCGCCTTCTTAAAAAATCTCACATTTTTTTTAATCCCAGGAATTTTCAAAAGTTTTCATTTTCAAAACAATTTACTTTGAATCTTATCGCGAGTTGGTTAAGTTTCCGCCAGACGTTTTATCGATTGTCTTGAAAAGTGTTTTTCTTTGTTTTTGTTTTTTTGTTTGTTTTTTTGCTTCTCTTCACCAAACCCTTGCCTCCTGGTCATTGCATCTTTATATTCCGCTTGAGGCTATATACTTACAGATGACCCCAATAGCTTGCAAAACATCTCTGATGATTTTCTAAAGAAACCACAAACCTCGAGTTTTAACTGCTTCGCTGTTTCTTTCGTAAAAATAAGGCGATATAACCCGGGCATTTAGTAATATTTTAACAAAGGCCATAAATTTATAAATTTAGAACATTCGCTGGGATTCGAACTCGCTACCCTAGTTTTCCCCTATATGTGAGGATAAACTAATTGGCACTCTTCTCTGATCGTTCTTTTATAGCTTACGGCCATATCACGTTCAAACACCTGTTCGCGGACGATCATCGAAGTTAAGCAACGTCGAGTCTGGACACTACTAAGATGGGTAACCCTTTGGAAATACCAGGTGCTGTAAGTGTGCGAGTGGTGTAATGGATAAAGACTCGGAATTGTTAATCGGAGAGTCGAGTTACAATTCTAGTTGGGTTCGTTGTATTCATTTACGTTCAAATACCCTTGGAAAAAGGTATGAATCAACCTGTTCTCCTCCCGGCTATGGGTTAATTAGTAAGACTTGTATCACTAAACCAGTATTATCTCAAAAAACTTCTTGAACTCTAAAAATATCTTCTAACTTAAGATAGATTGATAATCAGTAAGAAACAGATCAATCAATGTCTTTTTATATGCTTTGCTTCTGAAAAAAAAAACTTTGTAATAATCAGCTGGCGAAATATTGGTTCAGATTTCTCATTGGAAAGAATTACAGGAAGTTTGAAATATATTAGAATAATCCATAGCATTTACTGGGATTTAAAAAAATCTGCATGCGCAAAAGAAACGAGCATAGCAAGCACAAATATTAAACAGAAAGAGAAATAAGATCACCAGATTTATTTTATCTAATCCTAAGTGAACCAGGGATAATCTTATTGGAAGACAGTCTTAATAACGTTAGATACACAGAGGAAACTGCGGTGATGTCCAGCTCAGAAAGGGAACTGCAAACACTAAACAATGTAAGAAAAGAAAGCAAGAACAAAGGACTAACTGTTAACTGTAGTAAAATAGAATGAATGGTCGACAGCAAAAGAGACGCGGTTGATACTGTGAGTTACATATTGTGAACGTCAAAATTGGGCCGTCACAAAGATTTAACTATCTGGATAGAATAATAACGAAAATGTGTCAAGTAATTGGATTCATCGTTAGAGTAGCGAAAGATGCCTTTCAGAAAGTAAGTAGAATTATTATGACTAGGAAAATTTTTGTTGCAAACAAAGAAAACGAAGAACTAATATGTCATATTTATTTTCTTTTAAGGCTGTTAATGCGCGATAATTTCCTAACATGAAAAAGAGGCTTGAAACGATGGAGATGTTGTTTCAGAGAAGGAAGCTGAGAATACCACAGACTGAACCAGTGAGCAATATGGGAATATATTAATCTTGATAATCCATCCGCATGTCCTAATTTTTTAAATGGTTGATACTGCATCGTAGAATCATAGTTTAATAAGATGATATTCCAGTGTTGTAGTTTACTAACTGTATATCTACGTATTTCTTTCTTTGTACCATATATTGTTAATAGAGGTCTGTGGTCTGTCTGCAATCTAACCTTTCTTCCATGTATAAATTTATGAAATTTCTTCACACAAAATATAATTGCTAGAGCCTCCTTTTCTATCTGGTTGTAAAGGACGCTGTTGGACTCAGAAGATAGCTGAAATTGTGTGTAAACATACTGAGGAAAGGAGGCTCCGTTGAATTTAACATTCATAAGTCTTTAAGTGGTGACACAGATGGACAGAAGAGACAGAAAGTTATGAAGAGCTATGACCGACCATGTCCTGAATGGAAATGCCACATAAAGAAAGTTTTATATTGTCAAATTTGGCATAATTTTATTATTGATATTAACAGTGAATATTATTTTTTTTATTATAAGAAAGATGCAGACACAACTTAAATTTTAAAAAAAATATTTGTGTATTTTATGGAAAAGGTACTGTTAAAGTTTGAATGTGTCAAAAGTGGTTTCCGCTGGATATTTTCGTTGGATATTTCTCGCTGAGCAATGTCTCAGATTCGGGTAATCTATTTCAGATTTATAGAGATTAAATCAAAAAATTATTTGAGAATATTCAACCTCATACAACGCAGGCAACAGCAAGCACACTAAAAAAAAATAATCCAATTAATCGCTAAAAACCGACTGTGCGAATTTGTTTAGGCTAGTCGCTTTGATGTGTAGCTTCCACATAAGCAAAAAGAACTACTCCGCTGGATTTTAAAGTTAACCTTTTAAGGAAAAACGTGACAGCTGATATAATATGCATAGTTAATGAGATCTCCGGACATAAATTAGTTTAGAATAAACTTAATGATCTACCACTAACCAATGCTGTGTATATGATGTGATTGAAAGCAAGTGGTCTACTATGAACTCTCTACAAAGAGACAGATGAGTGATTGGAACAAGTACTACTCAGCATTTAACTGAACATAACAGGTTAAGATTGATACCTTCAGTCTAAATGGTTGCAGCAATCGATGAAATCCGTTTTGAATGTTAATAGTTTCTAGTTGTGTTATAGCGCGCTTTGTAGTGCTTATAAGTACTGCTTTGGGTACTTGCCGTGATGCCTGTATTAGTTAGTCTGAAGACTGACTCCAAACGGCTTCTGCTTCTGGCTCTTGACCTGGAGCTCTTTATTTATAGTCACGGGGGGTATACACTTTTCTTCGCAACATCCCCACTTTTGAGATTAATACTTTTTATAAATATTTTATTTTTTTATTAATATTATTATCTCCCCCTTTTCTTTCTAGAGAATTAGCCAACGTATCTGACTTGGTAGCGTTTCCGTCTCGGATCCACTTCAGCACGCTTTCTTTTTCGGGAACTTGTGCTTGTGGGTTCCACGATTTATTGTGGTGATGGCACATCGAAAACATCATATAGCATTTTTATCGATTCTTCCAATGTTTTAGATTTTTCACCGATTAACCTTTTTTCAGCTAATTATGGTGTCTTTTACGTTCAAATCTTTTCCCTTTTACTATGTAAATCAACTTCCCGATTCTTGCTTAGATTATGCCGTCTTTCCACATTTCTTTACCCTCCTTATATAGCGAGCGTGATGCATGATCAAAAGTTTTCATTTTACCGACATTGTATTTGTGTAAAATCAACACTCCAATACCGTACTCACTAGCATATGACGCCACGACAATTTCTACTTTTGGATTGTAGTGTGCTAATGTTAAATCTGACGTAAGTCTTTTTTTTAAATCGTCAAACGTCTTTTGATAGTTATTATTCCAGTTCCACTTTACACCGTTAAGTAGATCGTTCAGTGGAGCTCTCAAATTATACATATTATGAACATATATTTGATAATAATTAGCCAGTCTTAGAAAAGCTTGTAACGTAGTTACGTATGGTGGTGGAGGCATGCTTTTAATTGCACTTGCCCTCGATGGATCTGGTTGACAACCATTTTCATCAATAAATTGGCCAAGGTATTTAATTTTCGGCAAAAGCTATTCACGTTTTATTCCACTAAGCTAGTAACCATATTCTCTAAGAGAATAAAAGTATTGTTTTCCCATACCCAACATGTGTTTTAGATACACTTTTGATTAAAATGTCGTTCAGATACGCCACTGCGAAATCGCAGTCCGCACGTATAGTATCCATAGTTTGTTGAAAAATTGCTTTGTGTCACCTTTATACCTAAAGGAAGTCGGTTAAACTTATATAATCCTCTGTGCGCATTTATGGTCGATAATTCTGAACATTCATTTTCAATCTGAATTTGTAAATACGCTTCAGATCCAGCTTTGAAAATATTCTTGTCGTTTAACTTCGAAAAAATTTCCTCTGGACTTGATAATGGGTAGTTATGTGTTTCTAAGCAACTATTTAATTCAGTCAAGAAATCCGCGCAAACACGAATTTTATTTTATTTTTCTTCACGTACACCGCTGGGGCAGACCATTTTGAATGCTAATTTTTTTTCTATTACACCAATTATTTTGTGTCTGTTCATCTACTCGTTGATTCGTTCCAATGCTGCGAATGGTACGCTCCCTTTCGGCTTAAATACTGGCGTTGAACCTTTTTTTAACTTGAAAATCTGCCTTAAATTTTGAACACCGACTTAGTTCATTTGACAGAACATCTGGAAAACATTTTTAATTCATCCATAAGATTTTCGATCTGACTTTTTAAACTGGTCGCTCCTCCACTTAATTTTTTTACAATAAACGTTTATCGGCAAAATGTTCAAATAGTTCCATCCAGTTAGTTCCGAATAAATTCGTAGCGTTTTTAATACATAAGCTTTAGTTTTTACATGCTTATTACAGAATGGAACATTACACGTTATTTCTAAAAAAAAAAAAAAAATATCAACTGAGACTGAAATCGCGACTTTGGAAGTCCTTTTTAATAAAAGCATCCCAGTGAATATTCCATTTCAATAATGAGTGAAACCACATTCCATGTGGTTTCACTGATTATTGAAATATTACTATCAGTTCCCAGTAACATTTTCATAACCCCATTATTTAATTTAACATTCACAATTTTCCTTTTGTTTTCTGTGACCATTTTTCCTTCGAAAAGGTCTGTACGAATTTCTTCCTGTGAGAATTTTTTCCTGGTTTGATTTTGCAGTGTGACTTTATATGTTCTAGTTTACCACACTTGTAGCATTATGCACTTTTAAGTGGGCAGTCATTTCCAATATGTAATGCACCACATCTGAAATAAGAATTTAGTATCCATTTTATACATTTCACCTTTGCTTGTACTAATGCAATTTTTTTCTGAATTTCTCGAGCATTGTGTTTCAGACTTGGAATTTGTCTGGCAATCGTCCACTATTTCTTCAGGGTAACATTACTGTTTTCTTCAATTGTCGCTAAAACGTTCGCTCTTATTTTAGCTTGAACAAAAATTAACCTTTTGAACATATCTGGAGTCATTTTCTTTTATTCTAAACTTTTCATATTCTTTGTGGAGTGTACCAACATCCGTGACAAAATATTCGGCCTCATTTTTGGTTAGATTCATTCACCTAAAACGAAGATTAAACAGAGAGCTCTTGTCACTAAAGATTTTCGTCAGAATGTGTACTGTATCTTCTGAAACGCGATTTTACCTGTTTTTTTTTTCGGTAATATGTAGTTGCGGTATTTTTCATTCTCTATCGGAGCTATTTTCATCAAGAGCAATATCATTTTTCTGTCATCTTCTCAGCCGCCCTATTCTTAACTGAATATTTATTCATATATACGAAAAAACACATAAACAAAGTCCCTCATGAGGATGGTATACAAATTCTGGTATGATGTTTTGGACAGGCGTAAGAGACGTTGAAAATTTCTGTTGTTTTCTTCAGGA